CTGAACCATTAAAATGAGCCTAAGAAACATAACACTGATGAGATAGTCCATAATATACAGAACAGGTACACAAATAACATATACATAAAAAAAATTAATAAAAAGCAGATACTGCTGCAAACTACTAAGTGTTCCAATGACCAGGGAAAGGCTGTTCAAATGATGAAGGAAGCAAGTCTGATGTGCCACCTCTGGAGCCACAGCCGCCAAGCATGCGCGTGTTCATGAACTATCCTCTCATCTTTAGGAAGAGGTTTTTTGTTTTTTTTATTCTGAAATAATTGCAGACTATTTGTAATGATGAGGGGTGCCAAGCTAACCTAGAGGTACCTGAGATTAAACATTAAATGGCTAGAAACGAGCAAAATGAGCAGCCATGGGCACTTTAAACTTAATATTTGCTTTCTAGCTGGCATTTGACCAGTTTTGTAGTGACTAATGAAGCTGGATGTTGTGATGGGTAATGTCGCTGATTTTTGTGCTGCAGACTTTGCAAACCGCTGTTCTCTTCTTACACCATTATCACTGAATCCAAATTTTAATATTTTTAGACTAGGTCCTTCCATGATAGCTGCAACCTGCAGGCTGTGCTCTGCTGGTCTGTTGTGTTCTAGTAGGATGCCAGGTTTGCACACATTGCACTAGAAATCACCCAATTATGTTTCAAAAACTAAATGTAATATATATATATATATATATGTATATAATTTTTTTTTTCTTTTGAGTCCCCCATCTCTGGTTACTTCTGCAAACAAACAAAATAAAAAAATAACATGTAGCGGCATGTTTTGTCGGTCTGGAGGCTCCACAAAGTCAAACCGAACCTCAAACAGGAGGAAGATGATGAAACAACCAAGATTAGAAATAAAACTAGAATAAAATGATAAATAAAGGCAAGCTTTAAATATTCACTGCAAACTTAAACAGGGGAAGAGTTTTCACTTGTGTTCATATTCATAGGGATTTCTCTATTCAACACAAACTGATTTTAAATCTGAAAACTTTTCTTTCTTCCCTTCAGCAGCAGCTGATAAATTATTTGAGTTAATGATCGTTGGTTGGTTTCTGAAGGAAAAAACTGGGCGACACATCTTAAGTCCATCAAGGCTAAATCAGGATGATTTTGTAAAAGCTAGTCATGCTTCGATTGTCTTTTACACTCAGAGTCTGAACTTAGAGCAAATTTTATGTAAGACTTGAAATTAAAAATAAGTCAAAGAAATTAAGTGAAACATGACATTTTGAGAAGCAAAGACACTATATCGATAGATTCCTTAACGGAGCTTAGTGCAGCAGCTAATTTGGCAGACAATGGCATTAAACAATACACAGCTGGGTTGATTAAAATTATTTTATTTTACCAACTGTTTCTTCTTCTAATTAACCCATTATCACAAAATAAAAACAACTTTTGACCCAGTATAACAATATAATTAAGTAAAATATCTTAAAATACCTTGATTCCGTGTTCAGTGTTTCATTTCACTTTATTTCTTTGACTTTATTTCAGTCCGTCATTTTATTCTTCCCTATCTGTCAGTGTTTGTTAGCAGAGAATCGCCTCCAGTTTCTCCTCAAGTATCACAGACCAGAAACATGTTCAGTGTGTGAAGACTTCCTGTCTGGATCAATAACCTGATTATTCTAACTCTGTTATCATGGAAATACATCTGTGTATTTATGTTTGTATTGTAATAGTCTGTATGTATATACAGCAGTGATACAGCCATTCAGAAGCTAAAATCACCCTTTTATACTGAAATCGCACTGTTTAATCACATTATTGTAGAAAACTCTTTGTTAAAAAACAGGAACTGATGTCAGAGGGTGGAGCTCAGCAAGAGAGAGGCTCTCTGCCATGTTAGCCTACAGTCTAAAGAGCCACTCATCAGTCTGAGACTCACCTGCAGCCGGAGATCACCTGTTGGCTCAACCCCACCTGAGTCTGTGAACAGAGACAGACAACGCTCACTGAGGGAGTCCCTGCTCCATCCTGACCGGTCCTCAACCTTGTCATAAACTTGACTCTTTAGCCGGGTAGTTCACGTTGGTTACCATGGTGACAACCTCGTCAGGTGCCGTGACACTTGTCAGCCGCTGCATCTGCACAACACGCTCCTCAACGCAGCCGGCCGACAGCCGAGCCTCGGCCTCGTGGTCCCAGCACTCCTCGATGGTTTCACAGAGCAATGCCAGGCCCTACAGGGACGCCCAAACATCCACCACACACAGACAGGGTATTAATGATGGTAATGCAGTTTACAGGTTGTTTGCATTCATCGTGTATTCAATGAGTGCAAAGTGGTACTGTATATTGTGGGTAATTTAGTCAGGCTCACAGTATGTTTCTGCCAGCACTCTCTGAGCGTCGGTCTGAGCTTCTTGTGGACCACCACCTCCTGCATGTCCTCCAGAGATGGATGCTGACCCACCTCCTCCTCAAAAGGTAGCATGTACTCATCCACCGGACCTGGGTCAGAGACATGTGGGACCATCAGAGTCCAGAACAGATATACTGGACAAGGTCAGCAGTAGTGATAACACCTGGAATAATAAATAAATAAAACCTTCTTGATACCCGTCCCTAGTTGTGAGTCTGTGTGTATGCAACAATAGGTCTTACTGCAGTGTAACACGTTACCCCGTTTCACACATCATGACTGATGACACCTGAGGCTTCAAATGTTGCTGCTGCCTCACAAACATTCACAGAGTAACAGAGTCATACAAGCTTTATGGTTAAAATATGTGGCAGAGAAAAGAGAACTGCTAGAAAGACATAATCACAAGCGTGAGAGCATTCCCACCTGTACGAGTAATAATGGTATGAAAGTAAAATGATACTGTGACTCATAAAATGTTACACAAAAACATTAGCAGCCTAAACTCAAGGCTTAAATCAGGAAAACCTGTGCCTGAAATGTGCTAGGGGGTCACGAGAAAGAATAAAAGAAAGGAGGGTTCACCAAATGAAATTATTTCATTGAAAATGATACAGATGATGTGAGACTTAATATGTTGATGATGACTGGGCGCGTCCAGATAACGAAGTTATTTTTATAACCTTTATTCTTGTTTTATTGAAATGATTCTTGTGTTTTCTTTTATTTGCTGGTTCAGGTCTCTTACTCTGGCAAACACGAATAGATTCCAAAAGGTTGTCAAGACGTGGAGCAAGACTGTGAATAATAAATAAATGGAGATACTGTAATTACCTAAAGTTCAGGAGCGGGACCTAACCTGAACTACGCCTCTTATATTTACACACTATTTAACTCACACAAAGCTCCATACCTCTGCTTTTTGTTTGAACGGCCAGAGCCCCATCCATGTGTACCTGCTCGCCTTCAATTTCCTCCTGCTTTGTTTTCGGATGCTGGACCGTTCCATTGTCGGATGGTCTTCTCAAACCAGCCGCTTCTGTTTGCATTCAGGCCACAGCAGTTCAGCCCATCCTGCCAGCTCCTCTTGCTTCTCCCTGACAGCTCCTGGCTGGCACTCCACCTGAGAGGATAGGTACTGAGGGACTCCTTCAGCCGGAGCTACTTGTGGACACAGTTTTCTCCTGTCAGGGTTGCCTCTTGTCCTCTACTGGTGCGGCTGCAGTCTCTCATTCTGCACCTTTGGAAGAGCCTTGTTTTATCTTCATTTCCTATACCATCCTGTCATCTGGGTGCCAGATCACGTGATCTCTCCCCCATTTGTTTCCTCCTTTTGGCACCAGGGTGCCCGCGGCTCCCACCACCAGCATCAGGCCCCTCTCCACCTACCCTTCTTGACAACTCCCTCACCAGTTCTGGGGGCTTGTGGGGCATGAAACAGTTCACCGATTCACGTCTCTCTCTTATTTTCAGGCTTATCTTCTCTACCCACTCACCCCAACCAGTTGAGGCAGAAGGCTGCCCACCAAGGGCCAGAGTCTATCAGAGGTTTCTTCCATTAAAGGGAGTTGTTTTTCTCCCCACTGTTGCCAAGTGCTGCTCAAGGTTGGGGTTTGTTGAGTTTCTCTTATTGTCGTGAACTGGTGCTAATACAATAAATTGAACTGAAATTGGATTTACTTAAACCTTGACACTTAACCATTTGGACTGCACTTATTTGTTGGAAGGGTTTGGGGGTCTGCCAGTGCCTGAGAGGAACGCAGGCCTCCTTAGCCTTCCCCGAAACCATCAAGTTCAAAAGCATCCTCTATCCTTATACTTCTATTTGTTCCAAGTGAGGGCAGGTCCCTGCTAGTGAACGTACCTCACTTGTTTAAGTTACATATTCTGGGGAAGGCTAGGTGAATCTTGACTATTGATCAGACTATCTTTGGAGAGTCTGTGATGCTTCTGTCAGGATGACAATATGCCCTCCCAAAATGTAGGACAATTTGACTTAAGAACTCCATGGTACCAATGGCAATCGGTCTGTTAACACCAGTTCTTCTGTTTGATCGCAAGCTAATGCATGCTACAATTTGCTAGCTAGCTAGCTAGCTATGCCCTCACCCAGCAAATGCATCCTACATGTTCTCCCTCAATACATCCATGATGAGAGCAGGCAGCACATTTCCATGATTGTGCATGGTTTCAGTGTCTTCACCCAACATGCCTGCAGAATTTCAAAGCAGAGATTACTCCTTAATTTTTCATGATTTTGAAAGCTAATTTTATATACTTGGCACCATTTTTGATAGTTCAGATTTGGCTGGGTGGTTAATAACATCCTCCTGTGGGGTAACAACCTCAGAACGCATTTAATTCTACTTTACCCCAACTTTAAATCTGTTTGTTCGGCTTTTGCTGCTTCTGTACCACCTAGTAGAGGGCAGTGGACTGAAAATTTGGTGGCCAGAATGGGGAGGGTCCTATGATTCTCCTGGCTCTACAGAAACACTGATCTGGAGAGGACTTCCAGAGGAGGCAAGGAGAAGCCAATGACTGCAAGGACATGCAGTGTTAACTGTCCGAAAATATGCTGCAGTACCATGGTTACACCGCTAGATGCTGCCTCTTGCTGTCTAATGAGATAAAGTTATGCGTTTATTGTCTGCCCACGTACGGGCCACACCAACTCTAAAACAAATGCACATTCTTGCCAATAAAAAAAGAAAGAGTGGTAGTGCGGCTTTCTGTGCTCACTGTTGCAGTTGTGTTGATGAACGCTGCAGCGGGGAGTTGTTGTGAGGCAGCTGTCCAGTGTAGCTGCTATCTGAGGCTCTGTTAATGCAGGCTGGGAGAGGATCGTCACGGAGCAGTTAGCTGTGCTACCAACGTTCAGGACATGCATCACCAATAGAATCAACACAAAAGTGATGAACTGTGTAAGTAAAAAGATCTCGTCTGCCATATCAATACAAAATGTAGGATTCCTTATGGCTGTATACAGCCATTTTCTTTATATAATCATTGGTTTTCACATATAAAATGGACCTGGCCTGCACCAGAGGATTATAAACTACAACAGAGAGATGCACTGACATTTCGGAAAATGTATTTTATATCCCGGATTCTGAACCACATTCATTATTTTAGTGTCATATGTTGCACAGTAAAATCCACATTTGCTTCAGCCCTTGTGGATTCAAGTACAACAGACTTAATAACACAGAGCTTGTTGGACAATCATTATCATTGTTGAACTTGGTGCCGCTGACTCTGCTCCAGTCTTAAAGAGCTACTGTAAGTAACAGGTACTGAACTGGCTGGAAGGGTGGCGGCCAACTGAGCACAGGTCGGACAAGAACCAGGAGGAGTCAGCAGCTCGACGGGGAAGCAACAGAGACCAGAGGAGCAGAGGACCAGGGCAGGCAGGTGAGATGGCAGGAGGACAGCAGGCAACAGGAGGACTAGAGGATCGGGCCATGCAGGTGAGTTGACAGGTGGTGGCAGGCAACAGGAGGACCAAAGGATCGGGACGTGCAGGTGAGTAGACAGGTGGTGGCAGGTAACAGGAGGACCAGAGGATCGGGACGTGCTGGTGAGTAGACAGGTGGTGGCAGGTAACAGGAGGCCGGCAGGAACCAGGAGAATCAGGTGAGAGAGCAGGTTACTCACAACGTTGGGTTCTCGCACCGTAGCTGGCAAGCAGGCTAATCACAGCGTCAGAGCACCTGCTCCACAGCATAACTGGCAAGCAGATTACTCACAGTGTCGGGTGGCTAACAGATAACGACACAGAATACCAAAATCGAAAAGAGAACACAAAACAAATACACAAACGCATGGTGCAAACAAAACGCAGAGTAACCGCGACAAACAGAACCAGCCGTGGAGCAAACTCAGAACATGAAAGCATGATAGTATCATAGAAACCTGGCAGAAATGAGAGTAGCAGGGACGAAGCTTAAGGTGTGTAGGCATGAATGATCCAGCGAAGACTAAGTGAAAATATGGCTGTATATATATGCAGCAAGACCGGGAGGTAATGAGCGGCAGGTGGAAGGAATGATGGCTAATTACTGTAACTGAGCTCAAGACAGGAAAATTTCGGAAGGACAGGAGAGGCAGGAGAAAAAAACCCAACAGGGAACCAACAAGTGACGCAAACCGTGACAGCATGGCCCTGTGATGTTATCAGACTGCACATGTCCACACTGTCAGGAACACACTGAACCTAAACATTCTCACACTTTCACTGTTGACAGCAAACACGCTGCGGTGACCATGGATCTAGAGAGGACCAGGACTTCCTGCTGGTTTGTCCTGCACCCCCTCTAGTCTTTGTGTAGTCTTTGTGTGTCTTACCATCAGCAGCTTTGCAGCGTGAGGCGAGCTCCCACAGCACCAGACCCAAGGCATACATGTCTATCCTCAGGAAGGCATCTCTCTGGACGTTAATGGCCCCCTCCAAGACCTCCGGGGCCATGTACCTCCTAGTCCCCACCTGAAACACAACAGGTACACAGTCACACCCGCTTTAAAGCTCTGGACCCTGTAAAACCACATCTGTGGTTCTTTACTTTCACCATTTGTCACAAGTTGATGCAGTGTCTCTGAGTTTCATCTGCACATCTTATTTCACTCCAGCTATGAACCTCATAATCAGCTTCTTCAGAGCCAGATGATAAAAACTGATTTTCCTCCATCATGTCTGAGAATTCCACAGTAAAACTAAAGAACGCACATTGCCAAGAAGTAATGGCTAATAAAGCGTCCCACTGCGACAGCAGCAGGGCTCCGCCATATACACTCATTGGTAAGTAAGTATTTGCATTTGGGTGCCTCTCTCTGTGTCCCCGCCTTGCTTCAATATGATTCACTTCTGACAGCTCTGGTAAGAAAAACAAAACAAGCGCTTAGTTTGATGCAAGGTGCCTACCTGCCAAACACGGCAGAATCATTGTCAGGTGAGACCGAGATGGCACAGGGATCTGAATCACGCTCACACAACAATTTATTGTGCAGCCCTAATGAAAATAGCAAAAGGTTGTTTCAAATTGCTGAGCAGTTCGAATTGTAGTTTGCACCAACTTGAGAGTTTATTATAGTTTTATTATTTGATGTATTTCATTATGTGGATTTCATCTTTTTATTTATTCAATTTTCTTAAAGATTGTTTGTTCTAACTTATTTGATTGTGAATGAACTGGAAGCTTTGACAGTTATTTGTGTGCAACAAATGCATCTTAATACTTTGCTTGTTTTACATGACCTTTACGTAGAAATTACCAACCAAATGTCTGGTGTTGCATGAGAAATGAATAACCAAATATTTTAGCATGCGTGGGCAAAACCTCTGTCAACCTCTTGTCACTGTGCCTGAAAAATGTTCAAGGGGAAACACTGTTTGGCCGCTCAAGTTTTTTGTCACATACAAGTTTGAAGTTAGTGGAGCCTACAACACATGCATCTGGTGGGCACCAAAATAACATGGTCACCGACTGATTCAACCGCTGCAGCAGATTGACCTGGTGGCTTGTGAACGAACTTGCCTGGATGTAACCGTCTGATTATTATAACTGAAAGTAGCAATGCGGTGACATCTTTAGCTTTGCCAGCTGCTGTTACAGTCACACTGGGAGTGCCAGCGACACCTTCTGGCAGGATTTAGCTACAAGCACAAAGGATAATGTTTGAGTCCTTATATAACACTGTAAATTCACAACATACCAGTCAGGCAGAAATAATGCCAAATCAGCATCCGTTTGTAAATGCCTCTTCTCTGTCAACACTCTCCATCTGCTGAAAGCTGCACCAGTATAACTATGGTCTAAATCCAACTGTGTTAGTTTCTTTTCTTCAAAACTCTCATTTCTTGGCCTTCTTTTTCATGCAGCTATCTCAGCTAACACTGAAATCAGCAGCTTACTAGCCTGCGACCGTGTCAGTAGAGCGGAAGAATGTTCACATACTGACTGACAGCTATGAGCTTCCGCCCCTGACTGTGGCCTTCTATGATTAGTTAGAGTGTTATCCTGGTCAGAAACCTTTAGAAGGGAATATCTCAGCAGTGCTTATGAGCCTGGGTCACAGGAGCCTTTGACAGCATCTCTCCCCATTAAGATGTTTTGGGGGGATGTTTCCACAAAAAAAAAATTGAATATTACTGCACACTGAAGTTTTAATTCTATGTATTACAGAATGCATTATTTATTTATGGGGTTTGTGAGGAGAGTTGGGATGCTGGGCAATAGAAAAAAAAATTTAAGAATGTTTACACACAGGGCTCCAGACTGTGAGTGATCAGTTGCATTTTCAGACCAAATTTATTTAAGGTTAGACCGACCTCTCTCAAAGGTCGCACTGGGTGCAACTGCAAAATAAACTGCTTACGCACAAACGGCTGCTCTCACTGTAGAAATGGTGGAGAGACAGAACAATCTCCATGATACTGTCATCACAACGTTTATCTGCAGGTCTGTTACTCCCCTGTCTCATGAAGCAGACACTGCTAATCTATCAAATGTGTCAAGCCAGACTGACTCCGAGATGCACATCTCATCCCTGGACCTCTTGTTTACACTTCGAGTGTATTTGTTCCTTTGGCGCATTTGAAGTGTAGTCGCCACAGACCAAAATAAAAAAATAACATGTAGCGGCATGTTTTGTCGGTCTGGAGGCTCCACAAAGTCAAACCGAACCTCAAACAGGAGGAAGATGATGAAACAACCAAGATTAGAAATAAAACTAGAATAAAATGATAAATAAAGGCAAGCTTTAAATATTCACTGCAAACTTAAACAGGGGAAGAGTTTTCACTTGTGTTCATATTCATAGGGATTTCTCTATTCAACACAAACTGATTTTAAATCTGAAAACTTTTCTTTCTTCCCTTCAGCAGCAGCTGATAAATTATTTGAGTTAATGATCGTTGGTTGGTTTCTGAAGGAAAAAACTGGGCGACACATCTTAAGTCCATCAAGGCTAAATCAGGATGATTTTGTAAAAGCTAGTCATGCTTCGATTGTCTTTTACACTCAGAGTCTGAACTTAGAGCAAATTTTATGTAAGACTTGAAATTAAAAATAAGTCAAAGAAATTAAGTGAAACATGACATTTTGAGAAGCAAAGACACTATATCGATAGATTCCTTAACGGAGCTTAGTGCAGCAGCTAATTTGGCAGACAATGGCATTAAACAATACACAGCTGGGTTGATTAAAATTATTTTATTTTACCAACTGTTTCTTCTTCTAATTAACCCATTATCACAAAATAAAAACAACTTTTGACCCAGTATAACAATATAATTAAGTAAAATATCTTAAAATACCTTGATTCCGTGTTCAGTGTTTCATTTCACTTTATTTCTTTGACTTTATTTCAGTCCGTCATTTTATTCTTCCCTATCTGTCAGTGTTTGTTAGCAGAGAATCGCCTCCAGTTTCTCCTCAAGTATCACAGACCAGAAACATGTTCAGTGTGTGAAGACTTCCTGTCTGGATCAATAACCTGATTATTCTAACTCTGTTATCATGGAAATACATCTGTGTATTTATGTTTGTATTGTAATAGTCTGTATGTATATACAGCAGTGATACAGCCATTCAGAAGCTAAAATCACCCTTTTATACTGAAATCGCACTGTTTAATCACATTATTGTAGAAAACTCTTTGTTAAAAAACAGGAACTGATGTCAGAGGGTGGAGCTCAGCAAGAGAGAGGCTCTCTGCCATGTTAGCCTACAGTCTAAAGAGCCACTCATCAGTCTGAGACTCACCTGCAGCCGGAGATCACCTGTTGGCTCAACCCCACCTGAGTCTGTGAACAGAGACAGACAACGCTCACTGAGGGAGTCCCTGCTCCATCCTGACCGGTCCTCAACCTTGTCATAAACTTGACTCTTTAGCCGGGTAGTTCACGTTGGTTACCATGGTGACAACCTCGTCAGGTGCCGTGACACTTGTCAGCCGCTGCATCTGCACAACACGCTCCTCAACGCAGCCGGCCGACAGCCGAGCCTCGGCCTCGTGGTCCCAGCACTCCTCGATGGTTTCACAGAGCAATGCCAGGCCCTACAGGGACGCCCAAACATCCACCACACACAGACAGGGTATTAATGATGGTAATGCAGTTTACAGGTTGTTTGCATTCATCGTGTATTCAATGAGTGCAAAGTGGTACTGTATATTGTGGGTAATTTAGTCAGGCTCACAGTATGTTTCTGCCAGCACTCTCTGAGCGTCGGTCTGAGCTTCTTGTGGACCACCACCTCCTGCATGTCCTCCAGAGATGGATGCTGACCCACCTCCTCCTCAAAAGGTAGCATGTACTCATCCACCGGACCTGGGTCAGAGACATGTGGGACCATCAGAGTCCAGAACAGATATACTGGACAAGGTCAGCAGTAGTGATAACACCTGGAATAATAAATAAATAAAACCTTCTTGATACCCGTCCCTAGTTGTGAGTCTGTGTGTATGCAACAATAGGTCTTACTGCAGTGTAACACGTTACCCCGTTTCACACATCATGACTGATGACACCTGAGGCTTCAAATGTTGCTGCTGCCTCACAAACATTCACAGAGTAACAGAGTCATACAAGCTTTATGGTTAAAATATGTGGCAGAGAAAAGAGAACTGCTAGAAAGACATAATCACAAGCGTGAGAGCATTCCCACCTGTACGAGTAATAATGGTATGAAAGTAAAATGATACTGTGACTCATAAAATGTTACACAAAAACATTAGCAGCCTAAACTCAAGGCTTAAATCAGGAAAACCTGTGCCTGAAATGTGCTAGGGGGTCACGAGAAAGAATAAAAGAAAGGAGGGTTCACCAAATGAAATTATTTCATTGAAAATGATACAGATGATGTGAGACTTAATATGTTGATGATGACTGGGCGCGTCCAGATAACGAAGTTATTTTTATAACCTTTATTCTTGTTTTATTGAAATGATTCTTGTGTTTTCTTTTATTTGCTGGTTCAGGTCTCTTACTCTGGCAAACACGAATAGATTCCAAAAGGTTGTCAAGACGTGGAGCAAGACTGTGAATAATAAATAAATGGAGATACTGTAATTACCTAAAGTTCAGGAGCGGGACCTAACCTGAACTACGCCTCTTATATTTACACACTATTTAACTCACACAAAGCTCCATACCTCTGCTTTTTGTTTGAACGGCCAGAGCCCCATCCATGTGTACCTGCTCGCCTTCAATTTCCTCCTGCTTTGTTTTCGGATGCTGGACCGTTCCATTGTCGGATGGTCTTCTCAAACCAGCCGCTTCTGTTTGCATTCAGGCCACAGCAGTTCAGCCCATCCTGCCAGCTCCTCTTGCTTCTCCCTGACAGCTCCTGGCTGGCACTCCACCTGAGAGGATAGGTACTGAGGGACTCCTTCAGCCGGAGCTACTTGTGGACACAGTTTTCTCCTGTCAGGGTTGCCTCTTGTCCTCTACTGGTGCGGCTGCAGTCTCTCATTCTGCACCTTTGGAAGAGCCTTGTTTTATCTTCATTTCCTATACCATCCTGTCATCTGGGTGCCAGATCACGTGATCTCTCCCCCATTTGTTTCCTCCTTTTGGCACCAGGGTGCCCGCGGCTCCCACCACCAGCATCAGGCCCCTCTCCACCTACCCTTCTTGACAACTCCCTCACCAGTTCTGGGGGCTTGTGGGGCATGAAACAGTTCACCGATTCACGTCTCTCTCTTATTTTCAGGCTTATCTTCTCTACCCACTCACCCCAACCAGTTGAGGCAGAAGGCTGCCCACCAAGGGCCAGAGTCTATCAGAGGTTTCTTCCATTAAAGGGAGTTGTTTTTCTCCCCACTGTTGCCAAGTGCTGCTCAAGGTTGGGGTTTGTTGAGTTTCTCTTATTGTCGTGAACTGGTGCTAATACAATAAATTGAACTGAAATTGGATTTACTTAAACCTTGACACTTAACCATTTGGACTGCACTTATTTGTTGGAAGGGTTTGGGGGTCTGCCAGTGCCTGAGAGGAACGCAGGCCTCCTTAGCCTTCCCCGAAACCATCAAGTTCAAAAGCATCCTCTATCCTTATACTTCTATTTGTTCCAAGTGAGGGCAGGTCCCTGCTAGTGAACGTACCTCACTTGTTTAAGTTACATATTCTGGGGAAGGCTAGGTGAATCTTGACTATTGATCAGACTATCTTTGGAGAGTCTGTGATGCTTCTGTCAGGATGACAATATGCCCTCCCAAAATGTAGGACAATTTGACTTAAGAACTCCATGGTACCAATGGCAATCGGTCTGTTAACACCAGTTCTTCTGTTTGATCGCAAGCTAATGCATGCTACAATTTGCTAGCTAGCTAGCTAGCTATGCCCTCACCCAGCAAATGCATCCTACATGTTCTCCCTCAATACATCCATGATGAGAGCAGGCAGCACATTTCCATGATTGTGCATGGTTTCAGTGTCTTCACCCAACATGCCTGCAGAATTTCAAAGCAGAGATTACTCCTTAATTTTTCATGATTTTGAAAGCTAATTTTATATACTTGGCACCATTTTTGATAGTTCAGATTTGGCTGGGTGGTTAATAACATCCTCCTGTGGGGTAACAACCTCAGAACGCATTTAATTCTACTTTACCCCAACTTTAAATCTGTTTGTTCGGCTTTTGCTGCTTCTGTACCACCTAGTAGAGGGCAGTGGACTGAAAATTTGGTGGCCAGAATGGGGAGGGTCCTATGATTCTCCTGGCTCTACAGAAACACTGATCTGGAGAGGACTTCCAGAGGAGGCAAGGAGAAGCCAATGACTGCAAGGACATGCAGTGTTAACTGTCCGAAAATATGCTGCAGTACCATGGTTACACCGCTAGATGCTGCCTCTTGCTGTCTAATGAGATAAAGTTATGCGTTTATTGTCTGCCCACGTACGGGCCACACCAACTCTAAAACAAATGCACATTCTTGCCAATAAAAAAAGAAAGAGTGGTAGTGCGGCTTTCTGTGCTCACTGTTGCAGTTGTGTTGATGAACGCTGCAGCGGGGAGTTGTTGTGAGGCAGCTGTCCAGTGTAGCTGCTATCTGAGGCTCTGTTAATGCAGGCTGGGAGAGGATCGTCACGGAGCAGTTAGCTGTGCTACCAACGTTCAGGACATGCATCACCAATAGAATCAACACAAAAGTGATGAACTGTGTAAGTAAAAAGATCTCGTCTGCCATATCAATACAAAATGTAGGATTCCTTATGGCTGTATACAGCCATTTTCTTTATATAATCATTGGTTTTCACATATAAAATGGACCTGGCCTGCACCAGAGGATTATAAACTACAACAGAGAGATGCACTGACATTTCGGAAAATGTATTTTATATCCCGGATTCTGAACCACATTCATTATTTTAGTGTCATATGTTGCACAGTAAAATCCACATTTGCTTCAGCCCTTGTGGATTCAAGTACAACAGACTTAATAACACAGAGCTTGTTGGACAATCATTATCATTGTTGAACTTGGTGCCGCTGACTCTGCTCCAGTCTTAAAGAGCTACTGTAAGTAACAGGTACTGAACTGGCTGGAAGGGTGGCGGCCAACTGAGCACAGGTCGGACAAGAACCAGGAGGAGTCAGCAGCTCGACGGGGAAGCAACAGAGACCAGAGGAGCAGAGGACCAGGGCAGGCAGGTGAGATGGCAGGAGGACAGCAGGCAACAGGAGGACTAGAGGATCGGGCCATGCAGGTGAGTTGACAGGTGGTGGCAGGCAACAGGAGGACCAAAGGATCGGGACGTGCAGGTGAGTAGACAGGTGGTGGCAGGTAACAGGAGGACCAGAGGATCGGGACGTGCTGGTGAGTAGACAGGTGGTGGCAGGTAACAGGAGGCCGGCAGGAACCAGGAGAATCAGGTGAGAGAGCAGGTTACTCACAACGTTGGGTTCTCGCACCGTAGCTGGCAAGCAGGCTAATCACAGCGTCAGAGCACCTGCTCCACAGCATAACTGGCAAGCAGATTACTCACAGTGTCGGGTGGCTAACAGATAACGACACAGAATACCAAAATCGAAAAGAGAACACAAAACAAATACACAAACGCATGGTGCAAACAAAACGCAGAGTAACCGCGACAAACAGAACCAGCCGTGGAGCAAACTCAGAACATGAAAGCATGATAGTATCATAGAAACCTGGCAGAAATGAGAGTAGCAGGGACGAAGCTTAAGGTGTGTAGGCATGAATGATCCAGCGAAGACTAAGTGAAAATATGGCTGTATATATATGCAGCAAGACCGGGAGGTAATGAGCGGCAGGTGGAAGGAATGATGGCTAATTACTGTAACTGAGCTCAAGACAGGAAAATTTCGGAAGGACAGGAGAGGCAGGAGAAAAAAACCCAACAGGGAACCAACAAGTGACGCAAACCGTGACAGCATGGCCCTGTGATGTTATCAGACTGCACATGTCCACACTGTCAGGAACACACTGAACCTAAACATTCTCACACTTTCACTGTTGACAGCAAACACGCTGCGGTGACCATGGATCTAGAGAGGACCAGGACTTCCTGCTGGTTTGTCCTGCACCCCCTCTAGTCTTTGTGTAGTCTTTGTGTGTCTTACCATCAGCAGCTTTGCAGCGTGAGGCGAGCTCCCACAGCACCAGACCCAAGGCATACATGTCTATCCTCAGGAAGGCATCTCTCTGGACGTTAATGGCCCCCTCCAAGACCTCCGGGGCCATGTACCTCCTAGTCCCCACCTGAAACACAACAGGTACACAGTCACACCCGCTTTAAAGCTCTGGACCCTGTAAAACCACATCTGTGGTTCTTTACTTTCACCATTTGTCACAAGTTGATGCAGTGTCTCTGAGTTTCATCTGCACATCTTATTTCACTCCAGCTATGAACCTCATAATCAGCTTCTTCAGAGCCAGATGATAAAAACTGATTTTCCTCCATCATGTCTGAGAATTCCACAGTAAAACTAAAGAACGCACATTGCCAAGAAGTAATGGCTAATAAAGCGTCCCACTGCGACAGCAGCAGGGCTCCGCCATATACACTCATTGGTAAGTAAGTATTTGCATTTGGGTGCCTCTCTCTGTGTCCCCGCCTTGCTTCAATATGATTCACTTCTGACAGCTCTGGTAAGAAAAACAAAACAAGCGCTTAGTTTGATGCAAGGTGCCTACCTGCCAAACACGGCAGAATCATTGTCAGGTGAGACCGAGATGGCACAGGGATCTGAATCACGCTCACACAACAATTTATTGTGCAGCCCTAATGAAAATAGCAAAAGGTTGTTTCAAATTGCTGAGCAGTTCGAATTGTAGTTTGCACCAACTTGAGAGTTTATTATAGTTTTATTATTTGATGTATTTCATTATGTGGATTTCATCTTTTTATTTATTCAATTTTCTTAAAGATTGTTTGTTCTAACTTATTTGATTGTGAATGAACTGGAAGCTTTGACAGTTATTTGTGTGCAACAAATGCATCTTAATACTTTGCTTGTTTTACATGACCTTTACGTAGAAATTACCAACCAAATGTCTGGTGTTGCATGAGAAATGAATAACCAAATATTTTAGCATGCGTGGGCAAAACCTCTGTCAACCTCTTGTCACTGTGCCTGAAAAATGTTCAAGGGGAAACACTGTTTGGCCGCTCAAGTTTTTTGTCACATACAAGTTTGAAGTTAGTGGAGCCTACAACACATGCATCTGGTGGGCACCAAAATAACATGGTCACCGACTGATTCAACCGCTGCAGCAGATTGACCTGGTGGCTTGTGAACGAACTTGCCTGGATGTAACCGTCTGATTATTATAACTGAAAGTAGCAATGCGGTGACATCTTTAGCTTTGCCAGCTGCTGTTACAGTCACACTGGGAGTGCCAGCGACACCTTCTGGCAGGATTTAGCTACAAGCACAAAGGATAATGTTTGAGTCCTTATATAACACTGTAAATTCACAACATACCAGTCAGGCAGAAATAATGCCAAATCAGCATCCGTTTGTAAATGCCTCTTCTCTGTCAACACTCTCCATCTGCTGAAAGCTGCACCAGTATAACTATGGTCTAAATCCAACTGTGTTAGTTTCTTTTCTTCAAAACTCTCATTTCTTGGCCTTCTTTTTCATGCAGCTATCTCAGCTAACACTGAAATCAGCAGCTTACTAGCCTGCGACCGTGTCAGTAGAGCGGAAGAATGTTCACATACTGACTGACAGCTATGAGCTTCCGCCCCTGACTGTGGCCTTCTATGATTAGTTAGAGTGTTATCCTGGTCAGAAACCTTTAGAAGGGAATATCTCAGCAGTGCTTATGAGCCTGGGTCACAGGAGCCTTTGACAGCATCTCTCCCCATTAAGATGTTTTGGGGGGATGTTTCCACAAAAAAAAAATTGAATATTACTGCACACTGAAGTTTTAATTCTATGTATTACAGAATGCATTATTTATTTATGGGGTTTGTGAGGAGAGTTGGGATGCTGGGCAATAGAAAAAAAAATTTAAGAATGTTTACACACAGGGCTCCAGACTGTGAGTGATCAGTTGCATTTTCAGACCAAATTTATTTAAGGTTAGACCGACCTCTCTCAAAGGTCGCACTGGGTGCAACTGCAAAATAAACTGCTTACGCACAAACGGCTGCTCTCACTGTAGAAATGGTGGAGAGACAGAACAATCTCCATGATACTGTCATCACAACGTTTATCTGCAGGTCTGTTACTCCCCTGTCTCATGAAGCAGACACTGCTAATCTATCAAATGTGTCAAGCCAGACTGACTCCGAGATGCACATCTCATCCCTGGACCTCTTGTTTACACTTCGAGTGTATTTGTTCCTTTGGCGCATTTGAAGTGTAGTCGCCACAGACAGCTGCTTAAATCAGGCAGATCACCTGTTGGACCGTTTGTGTGTTCACTTTTCACTTGAATCTCTTCTGACGGATCAGATCTGGTGTCACTGAGCTTTCTGTCAATATGTGAGAGTTAACCAATGAGGCTAATTTTCATCTGCCATCTCTGAGTATATAAGCTGTTCTGACGAGAGGCGCTGCACAGAGGTCAGAGTCAGTGTGGACTGAAAAGATCAAACACACATACGCGCTGCTCACATATGGTGAAGTAGTGGCCAAAACCCACCATCAGTTCTTCCTTAAGTCATAGGCTACTAGTAACTTTAGCCCAAAAATGTGTTGGTACTAGAAGGCGAGTTGAGAGAGATGAACTGTTCATGAAGTCCAACACAGACATCGCCAAAGAGCAAAAATTCTTCTTCAGATGAAAAACGGGCTACAAAAATAAATCAATAAATCACGTACACAGTGCACGCAATTCATCAGTTGTACTTAAATTGAAATATAACAGCCTTATTGTCATCATTATCATCACGTTGACTGCTAGGCTACAGAGAACTAAAATTACCACATAAAAAGAGGTTGAAAGGTGGTGAGTTTCCCATTTTTTGTTCTTTAAGTCCCTCTCTCTCTCTGAATTTCAAACATAGGCTATGCACACTGGATGGTAAGGTTAGTTAAAATAATTTGTGAAAAACAGATTCTTGTGTATTACGTTGTAAAACAAAGTTGGTGCCACCAGATCTGGCACCTGTAGCTCCAGTGCCACCAGTGTGGAATGTTAGTCTGGAGCCCTGATACACTACCAGTCAACTGAACTGAATGGGAATGTGTCCAAACCTTTGACCTTTGACTGGTAGTGTACATATAATTTCCCAATGATCTTGATATAAATAATAATTTTAAAAAAAGCAGCTACTGCTTGGTTTTGCATTTATTGTTATTTCATGAGAGTTCAGAGACAAATGCGTCCTCCATCATCACAGTCACAGGTAAACTCACCTGTCCATGTGTGTCACCTGGAGATCTTCCCGCCTCAAACCTTAGAGCGAGGCCGAAATCCGCAATACAAGGAATCAGATTAGACTTGAGCAGGATGTTCTTACTCTTAAAGTCCCTGAAAAAAAAAAAAAAAATGGAGTTTTTCTGTTATAGGAACCTACTGAAAGGCACCGAGCCGAGAAAAACCCGTCATGGGTTCTGCTTTTGTTTCCACTGCCCTCCGCCCACTTTGGAGCTGCATTCTGGGAGCTAAATTTCAGCACCTATGGGGAGGTAGTGCTAAAATCAAGATCCAGGAACACAAGGGGAGAAGGGGTGCTCACCGAGTAGTAACCATGATTGGTTAAATGTTTAAATGCACCTCAGCCTTTAGCATTATAAGCACAGTGTGTAAACCCCCTCATTGGTTCAGGATTCAAATGGGGGCTTCAGTAAGTGGACAGGGGCAAAGCGGTGAAGACTGCAAATGGGTGAATGACCAAGTAGTGTGAAACTGCTTTGAGTGTGCTATAAAGCATAGAAAAGTGCTACACAAGTATAAGACCATTTTACATTTCTGCCACTCTGTGTTCTACTTGTTCAACAGCTGTTTGATAAACCACTCATAGTCTCTGTTACTAGCTGATTGTTACACTGTGGAGATATCGTTCACGTGCTCTGCTCAGCTGGGTGTGTGTGAAAGGAGAGCCACCGCTCCGTTCTCTAAACAGAGACTCACACAGGGAAAATACAGTAGAAAAGCAAAGTAGGACGGTTGGCATCAAGCTGCGAGGTTATGCCGGGTGACGTTATGGGAAGCACTCATTAGGTTCCTACAGTGGAAATGCAGCAACAGTGACACCTCCTCTCTCACAGGACTCTGTGTGTGTCTGCGTGCGTACCTGTGTGCGATGGCAGGCTTGTGTCCATCCTTGTGTCCAGGTATGTCTTCGTGCAGGTAGGCAAGGCCTCGAGACACGTACTGAGCGATGAGACAGAGTTCAGACCAGGAGAGGACGTTGGCCTTCAGGTAGTCGGTCAGAGAGCCCTGGACACAGCGCACGCCATGTGTTGCTCATTTACATCGGTTATAGTCCTGATATTACACGAATCTATAAATGGTAAATGTTTAAGTAACAACAGTAATAAAACAAATGATGAAATGCACAGAAACAATAAAACCATTTGAACCACCCTTCATACATTTACAACTAATTAAAGAAAAGCATTTAGTGAATGCTATGTTTTGTTTTGTTTTTTTCTTTTTCTGAATCAGATTTTATTGGTACTCTTTGTTCATTTGTGTTTCAGCTGTGGTCGGTGGCCATTCCTCCTCCATCCAGCAGGGGTCAGCATTTACCCTCTCATGGTAGGCTGTGATGAGCCAGAGCTCCATGTCCATGTTACTTTGTCTCTTCTCAGCTCCGATGAACTGCAGCAGGTTGTCGTGTCTCATTCCTTTCATGTTGTAGATCTCATACTCATTCTGCCATGACTGTTTGTCCTGAACACACACACACACAAACAAACAGAGGTCAAAAGTCACATTCCTAAAATTAGCTGAGACAATAGTTATAACTGATTCTTCACTGACACAGTGAAGATAAAACACAAAGAAGAGGAAATGCTTCAGAAAAACTACAGCTGAATTCCCTGAAGACAACTGTCAACTAGTTCAAATTAATTCAGACCGTTGTTAGACAGTTAGCTGTTAGATGTCTGGGAGCTTAGAGGCACTGAAAGAGGTGTAGTATATGACATGAAAATCATTTGAATACATTTTCAGATCAAATTCAAGAGAAAGATTTACAAAATATTAATGAGGTTTCAACTGCTTTCAGTCCAAATTTCACTTCAACTGCTTTTGTCCTCCCCACATGAACTGACACTTCATTTCTACGTTGGTTTAGCTAAGGCTTCCTGCTGTCACTGCTCTCAGATTATCTTAAAAGGGCCCACGGTGCTTTTCCTTCTGACTTATCTACAATGTTACAAGGGCAAATTATCATCTTAGACGTGACCTAAAGCTCAAAAAATTAGGTGTACATATGTTGTAGTATTTATTTTCATTTCAGAAGCAACTGGGTTTATACACACCTCGAAAACTCTCGCTCACGGGACTTTTTTCCCCCCAACATTACAAAGTATTACATGATAGTTTAAGGATTTCCTTGAATGTGCATAAATCCAGGCTGTTGAGTTTTCATGTGAGCTTGCCTGACATCCACCAGTTCCATTGTAAAAGCGTCATTTTTCGACTGCACCTGGTTTTGTAGATACATTTTCCCTCCTCCTGCTGCACTGATCAGCCGGCCAGTGAAGCACCCTGCGGCAGTGAATGATCAGCTCATCAACACTGGATTCCCCCGGAGCACAGTACCTGTTTGTTTTGACTGCTTGAGGCCAATGTGTCTGCTGCATGTGATGTGTTTCTGGTTAACGAGCGGATTAACGACCCATGATGTTATTGTCATGCTATGCCATGTGTTGGAAATAATTTCACTACTTTGGGACTGTATGTGGTCATGTGGCGAAGACACAGTGAGCTGCTTGAAAGGGAGCGATGTTTCCACAACTCAGTGGGACTTAACCGTAAGTTTAAAAAAAAAAAAAAACACACACATTTCATTTCTGCTAATGCCTTGTTTCTGTAACATTAGAGAGAATTGTTTTAAGGCCGGAGAAGTTACTATGTCTGCATTATGCCAGTTAAAATATGGGGTTTCTCAGTTACCTGCTTTGTTTAGAGTGTTACACATCTCTTTTCATTGGTACATATACCGTTGTTTACCTATCTATGGAGGAGAAATTCATATTAATTAATGCCATCACAGCTCGTTGTGGTGTCCATGTGCAACACAACATTGTGTGAGTTCATGAACTATCCTCTTGCTTTTAGGAAGAGCCTCTCTGGTTTTATTGTTCTGAAATAATTACAGACTATTTGGAGTTATGAGGGGTGCCAAGCTAATCTAGAGGTACCCACAATTAAACACTGAATGGCTGGAAGTGAGCAAAATGAGTAGCCATGGGCACTTTAAGTTCAAACTATTGTCTGCTACGGCCTTAAGCAACATTTCAACTGCTTTCATCTCTTACACTTCAACTCTTAAAATCCACCGATTTTCAGCTTCAGCTTCTTTACATGCTATGGTATATGAGGCACCACATTAAATTGGTTTTAATCCTATTTGACTGACAGGACCTTCTCAGTCAGACTTTCATCATCCCCAGCTCAGCTCAGCTGTGGGGCATCTCACAGGTCTGTTCTTGGCCCCATTCTTTTTTCCTTGAACATGCGCCCTTTAGAGTCTTTAACAAGTATGACATCTCTTTTCACTGCTTTGCAGATGATACCCAAATCTAATTTGATTCGCTAAGATGAACAGCCAATCAGAGTGGTCTCTCTGTTACTGAGGAGGTCCAGCGAGCCTACGCTGATTCAACATGTTGAATTTGCAAAAAAACCGCCATGTGCCAACGGTGCAGGACACACCAGGAAGACGAGCGCCGACAGACGCTTACCGCCTGACAGTGGCCGACAGCCGACCATTGGGTTGGTGTGTCTCCGCCCTAACAGTCAGAGAAAGTAACAGACACCAACACTATCGGACAGTAACAGAGACCAACAATAACATGCAGTAACAGACAATAACACTAATGGACAGTAACAGACAGCAACACTAACAGACACTAGCAAACGCCAACAAACAGTACTGACCTGAATGGGGAATATTTTGACAGCAACATATTCGCTGAGCAGCTGAGCCTTCCACACACAGCCGAAGCGCCCCTTGGCTTTGACCTCCAGTAACTGCAGCGGCTTCTGACCCAGGACGAGCGAGGGAGGCTGAGGACCAGGGTCCTGGATGAAACAACAACAACAAGCTGAGCAAAGGTAATGGTTTGTCCTGCAGCTGTGATTCATCTGAAAAGAACAACCTCAACAACAGCAGCGACTCCTGCTGCAGTTATGACTAGTCTAATAATCTGAACAAATGCAGTGATTCAACCCGCAGCTGTGACTTGTCTGAACAAATCATAATGTGTTTAATCTCAAAGTTTGCTGGTATGACTCCTAGAAGAAGTGTGGTTTTTGACACGTCAATCTGACACCAACTGGTTAATCCAGATCACTTTCTATTTGAAAATAGGCCTAATTTTCCTTTTGAGAAATTATACTTCCATGTTTGACTGGATATAAAAGTTGACAGATTTATGTTGCAGAAAAAGTACAAGTCCAAACTAATTCACACTAATGCGCTCAAACTAACATGAACACAACCCAGATGTTGCTTCTGTGCCCACAGAGTGTTACTGACTGCACTCTCAACGCCTGGTTCCTGAGAGATTCTTAACATTCATGCATACCATCAACCTCTGTCCATCAGTGCACAAGAATATCAACCACCATCACACAGCATTAAAATAAAAAACAAAATGAAGAAAAATAAAAGCAGTAATGAAGCACTTTGCAGTGAAACAGACAGTCAAATAATGCAATGTTCTCTTACCTCTATCATTATATGAAAGGCTTGCTGAGGCAGAAACAGTTTACAGTCAGAGACCAGAAGCAGAAACACAAAGAAAGAGAAGTGATGGAGAATGAGGTCAAAGTTTCACTCAGTTTGATAAAAACAGTAAAACAAACTGGGTTCTGAGCCTCAACACTAATCTGGTACAGACTGGAAGATTATTCTTAATAATTCTTATTATTAGACATCCAATTCGTGGTCAGATTCATAATCTGGTTTATTGTGACCCTTTCAACTACAACCTGTAGCACCAGCATTGCTTTATAAGAAGCGCCTGCCAAGTAAATAAATTTAAATGCGAAAGTAATTTTACGTTGGTCTCATGTCTGAATATACACCAACATCACATTTCTCCAGTATGACATAAAATCAGTGGCACATGATTCAATAAATGCTTTTTTAAAATATGGTTAAGATGAATGTAATACATTCCAGTTTCATCTCTGTTGCTCACAAACAATAAAACTGGTTTCAAAATATTAAACATTGTGAAAGAGCCTATGTAAGAACAGAAACAAGCCTCAAACAGCCATAGTAATGAACACAGCTGCAGTCTCCCTGCTTTTCAATGTAATAATGAAGAAATATCAAGTTAAACTCTTTGCATGCAGCATGTGAGCTAAGAGGAAATAAAACTGCCTCTGTCCGACATTAAAAACTCACCCCCATGACTCAGGTGAGTCTGACTGATAAAGGCAGTACATTCCCTCTGCATCTCTGTGACAATCAAACGGTCAGGATGACATCTTTACACTGTACAAGGTGTTCTGACATCATATCAGCATTAATACAAACTAAATACTGTCATTAAACAGCTTTTCCCAAACGTAGGGTCATGACCTGTTTTTATTGCATAGCCAGTTGGTGAAGTAAAATGCATAGCAATGCTATGAATTCAATTTTCAAATCAAAATAAAAGAAGAAAGCTTTTTTCTCCATGAATCTGTTTGGCTCAGATGCTGTGTGCAAGGCTCTCTCTCTCTCCCACACGCTCTCTTTAACCTGATTTCAGCAGGCCCCCCACTAGCCATCAAAGTCTGGGAATTTTCTCAGTGGGCCAACAAGTTTGTTATCCAGAGCCACTTAGATATTACACAGCCTAAACCAATAAGAGTTATTCAACAGCTGCAGCGACACCTCTGGTGCAGCTTTGACAGCTGTGATAGCTGTTGCCTTCACACCTGCAAGGTTGACGTTGTAGCAAATACACCTTGGAGAAATGAAAACCTGCGGTGCAGAAAAGGGGCATCAGAAAAAGAAAACGTGTTTGTTGGCTGATGTTAGGTGTGCAAAAGTGGCTATTCGGCTATAAACTATAAACCACAGACTATAAACAGCTGCTGCGTGTGATGACAGAGTAAGGAGGAGGCAGGAGCATCAGACAGACGAGTGCACAGGGAGGATCTGTACCGATGACAGGTTGTTGTAAAGGTGAATACTGTAGAGCTGGTCGACCCACCATTGTCTAATCACTCCTAGCTAAGTGACTACTGAGTGCAGTCAAAAAGCAGACGGGATGTTAAAGCTGACACTAAATGTCTGCAAATACATTGGAAAAAATGACACTGACGGTAAATGGGTCAAATAGATATGAAAAATAAAGTAATGAGACTGGATGGCAAATTTCTCTCAGCATTTTGGAAGCATATCTTTTATAGACAAGGCAAGTTTATTTATATAGCATATTTTCATATGCAGCAGCAATTCAAAGTGCTTAACACAACCCACACTGATAAATAAAACATTAAAATGCAAATTAGATAAAACATTAAATATTACCTAAAAGAAACAAGTACATGACAGTACCGAGTAGCAACATACATGAGTAGATACCTAGTACTTTTAGTGTAGCTGTGGCAGACTGTGGATTTTCACTGTTTCCATTATATTTTGTACCCCTTTACTTCCGTCTTCCCACGATCAACTTCTCAGTACTTCACACCAGAGGTTAGAGCCGTCGGTGTGAGTTGACATCGCAGATGACTGCCTCGGTTCTGTACCGAAAACAAATTCCTTGTGTGTAACATACTTGGCTAAATAATGATGATCATTATTATCATTCGAGCGAATGTTGTTTAAAGTCATTATGAGAGCAGTTTTGGAAAGACTGGAAACCTGCCTGAAATTTCATTTGTTTGCAGGAAGTGGTTGATTTGGTTAAAAGGTATTTTCTCAGTCATCTTACTTATGAAGGGAAGATTTGAGATGGGCCTGCAGTTACTTGATGCTGAGGTGTCCAGGTTTCTCTTTTTCAGGAGGGGCCTTATAGCTGCAGTTTTTAATGATGCTGAAGTGAGTCATTTACAATATACAACAAATCCACTGCCAAGAAGCCAAAACCACTTTTTAAGAAGCTTGTAGGCAGAATATCTAATGAGCAGGTAGACATTTTAAGGTGCTGCACCGTTATCGCTAGAGCAGTGAAAATAAGCACCAACTGCACTATGTAAACATACTGATAGAGAGGGGGGAGGGGGAGGGAGAAGGAGCCAGCACAGTATACATTCTACTGAATGTTACTGTGTGACTTAAGTAAATTAGAGCTCTGCATATCAATACATATGATCAGACTGGACTACTCTTCAAAAGTTATTTATTTTTGCATCAAATGAAATAAAATGAATGGCTAGTACAGTAGGCTGCATAATACATCACACTTGTCAATGCCTACGTTACGGTTGGTCTGTCGATTCTGAATTTAATGAACTTTATATCTGATGCTGTTGTCAGGCAGGCCCAGTGATTTTTGTTTCATACAGTATGTTTGTTACAAGGTGGTGAGAAATTTAACATTACTCTCAGCTACTTCATTATTGCTGTGATGTACTTGTATAATGAAATGAATATATTTCATATAGACTACATTTTAAACTCAGGGTTTGTTGTCTTCATTATCTGTAGTTTACAATTGCAGACGCTGTAGCAATCCCTGATGTATTTTTTGTAAATTTGGGTCCAGGAGAGAGACCATATTTCTCTTTTGGGTCTCAAGATGAAAAGGTTTCAGAGCCCCGTCTTTAAACAAGAAAACTGATGACAGAACTAAAGAAAAGAAGCCTGTTGTCAGTTTGTGTGTCTGCATTCAGCCAAAGATCATCTGTGAGAGAAGATGCTCCACTCTGTAACCCTGCACAAAAAGTGTTTCTGTAGTGCAACAGAGTGAGATGTTGTCTGACACATTCTCCAGGTAAAGCTTCATTTAATAAACACGTGCCAGAATACAGTGAAAGGTTACTCAGGTTAATCTGTGAAGTGCTGTTTGTCTGTTTGTTCTGCCACCACAGCTGTGAAGAAACAAACCTTCAAAATTTTAAAGACACCACAGAAGAAGATCCTCTGCCACACAAACACCTGTCTCACCTGTGTAGGCACCAGTACAGGTGGGTAGGCCAGTTTGTGGTGTCGGTACATCCAGAAGGAGAGCAGGACAATGGCAGTGATGGCCATGATAGGAACCAGTGAGTACATCAGAGTGGTCAGGACTGGGGGCCTCGGCGTCACTGGTTTGTTTGTCGCTACATACAGGAACAAAAAGTAGAAGTCAATGTGTAAAGTTACAATGCAACATCATCGATTTATCAATAACATGACTGATCCAGAGACTCATCAGGGTGTAGCGGGCAAGTATAAAGTCATGAGAAATACAAAATAAAACTAATATTGATAATGAAGTGATAATTTAACACCAAAGTTATGTCGTCAACATGCTCTGAGGAGTTGCAATTTTGAGACTAAAGTCTTAGAAAACAATTATAACAGCATGAGAATAAAGTTGTAATATAAAGACAAAGCTCAACATTGTGCAAGAAAGTAGTAATTATGACAAAACAGAAAAGCTTTGTTATTACACTTAAGGATCATAACAAACGTGAACAGGGCATCTTACTGGGAATCTGCGACTGGCTGCTGTCGGGGCTGTAGAAGAACTTCGTGTTACACAAGCTTCCTTCACAGCAACAGAAGAAGACTTCAGGAGCATCTTTCTTTTCCACACACTCGGTCCTGTCAGCAAAAGAGGAAAACTCAGGACACTTCCTATTTTCATAGTGAAGACATTCCTCCTCCTCAGCATCACTTCTGTGACTGATTTCACCTCCAATCTGTTCGGAAACATCACACTCTGTCAGATTCACTCTTTTTATTCAGCCTGAGTGGAGTCTCTTCTCGGGGGGGCTCTGCAGGGTTCAGGTTAAATATAAAACATTTTAAGCTTAAATAAACTCTTCAGGGTCATGGCAGTCAAAAAATGACAGGAAACACATTAGGCCTACCATTATTTATTAACATTTATATCACAGTCTGTCACGGCTTCCAAGTTGTATATAACAATAATCCATAGAAACAATAAGTCAATAAATGTGACCTAGACTCTGCTATTGTTACCAAGCAGGTCCAAGGCCTCTGATCACTTGTTCCAGAGCTCAGGACAAAAACAGACAAAACACCCACAAATACAGTTTTGTGTGTCTTCCATCCTGAGGCTCCAGTATGGCGGGTGGGCGGGTTGTTTATTGCAGCAGAGGCTTCACTGCGACACGTCAGCTGCAGGTAAACGAGTTCAACAACAGGCATACACATTGACCACAGCACACACTCTGCTGCTACTAGACAGGCAGGTACAGGATCAGGTATAAACATGCAGACCATACAGAGAACAGCACAGGTGAGTCAGACCTGCAGGTACACAGGGTTCATCTGTGAGTTCAGGGAGTTTTAAACGGTGAGATATTAAAGAGTAAGTAAACCTCAAAACCACTTTTTTTCAGCTGAAAATTATATAAATCAAAAATCAACTGAAGAGGAGTTATTCATGAGAACCTAATTAAAATTAAAAATACTCTTATAGAACAAAATACCAGGACAATCAAATGTGGACTATTAAATATCAGATCTCTCTCATCTAAATCTCTGTTACTGAATGATTTGATTAGTGAACATTGATTTATTGTGTCTTACTGAAACGTGGTTACAGCAAGAAGAATGTCAGTCTAAATGAATCCACCCCACCTGGTCACAGTAACTGTCACATCCCTGGAAGCACAGGCCGAGGTGGAGGTGTGGCAGCGAGCTTTGACTCAAGCCTATTAATCAGCCCTAGACCTAAACAGTTATAAATCGCCCTGAGTCTCTCACACCCAAACTGTAAAACTCAAAAGCCAGTTCTGTTATTGTTTACTGTCCACCTGCCCCTTATTCTGAGTTTTTAAGTGAATTCTCAGACTTTCTGTCTATTCAGTGCTTAGTACAAATAAAATAATCATAGTGGGTGACTTTAATATTCATGTAGATGCTGACAATGACAGCCTCAACAATGCATTCTGTTCATTATTAGACTCTATGGGCTTTTCTCAAACTGTAAATAAACCCACTCACTGTTTTAATCACACCCTTGATCTTGTTCTGATATATGGCATTGAAACTGAACACTTAATAGCTGTTTCCCAAAACCCTCTTTTTGGCCAATTCGACATGTTGAATCAACACTGGGCCTCCTCAGGAACAGAGAGACCACTCTGATTGGCTGTTCAGCTTAGCGAATCGGTGCACAAGAAGAGAATGTGTCGGGAAAGCCGCCTCAGCCTGTCGCCATAGTATCCGTGATTTCACCCATTTAGCACGGTTTCTCCTTGTTTTTCACTTCCACAACCTCCTTTCTTCTTCCACAACCAAAAGGCAGAGAGTGGCAGAGTCATTTGCAGCTTCTTATCAGATGTATTCTCCATTAGAAGCAGCTGTAAACATGGGGTGTTTTGTTTACAGTTTATACTTCCGCATTCTAGGCCTTCTTCTTTCCCCTTTCTGAATGGCAAATACAGACGTCTCCACCTGCTGGTAGGGGAGTTGTTTCTCTCACACAGGCGCAGAATGTGCTAGTCAGCCATTGGCTGTCGTCTGTGAGGTGTGTTCAAGTGTCATTTTCAACCCAACGGGCCCAGACACAGAGGTCAGCCTTTGTTGCTGCTAGTTCTTTCATGTCAGCTTGGTGTGTCTGTTACTATCTGTTAGTATTATTCTCTGTTATTGTCTGCTACTTTCTGTCAATGTAAATGTTTTACTGTCCGTTAGTGTCAGTGCCCGTTACTGTCTGTGACTCTTTGTGTCAGTTACTCTTATAATCACAAGGATAATCACCTTTATTGGCCAAGTATGTTACACACAAGGACTTTGTTTATGATCTGTCTTTCCTGTACAGCCTGAAACAGAGTGTATCAATGAGCAGAAAACACAGTGTAATAGAAACAGAAATCTGTTTGGTACCTACACTACTGTGGTTACATCCTATATTAAAAATATAAAGAGATCATCATCATCATCATGAACAGTTTTAGCTGTTGAAAAGATGTTAAGTTGAATGTATAAAAAACAAAAAAATAGTCTTTCCCATGGGGGGTTCATGCAATCATTTTTTAAAAATTAAATATAGTAATTCCATAGTGCAGTTGTAAGGATAAGGATAATCACCTTTATTGGCCAAGTATGTTACACACAAGATTTGATTTGATTTATTCTTTCAAGCATGTAAAACAGTTGATATGACAACACACATAATTTTACACATAATCCAATATCAATTTGCTTATACCTAGTACATGCTTGAATGGAGTAGGAAGAAGTCAGACTTATCCAGTCCTACCCCATGACATCATCTTACCATCATTGGTTTGCAAGCAGTAAATGATTCACTTCTACCCACACAAGTATTATACTAAAAAAACTTGATTGACACATACCTTTATATTTATGTTTAAACTCGTCAATTCTATTACTATTTTTTATGTCCACACTTAAATTATTCCATAGTTTTACCCCACTTATGGAAATACAAAATCTTTTTTTGGTTGTACGTATAGCATGAATTTTTAAATTTAACTGACCTCTTAAATTGTATCCCCCTTCCCTTTCATTAAATAGTTTTTGAATTCCACCAGGTAATAAATTGTTCCTGGCTTTATACATAAACACAGCAGTCTTATATCCCACTAAATCAAAAAATTTTAACAATTTAGACTGTATGAAAGCTACATTGGTGTGATCCCTGTACCCCATCTTATGCACAATTCTTATCACTCTTTTTTGTAATATATACAATGGTTGAAGTGAGCTTATGTATGTATTTCCCCAGTTTTCAACGCCATACTCTAAGGAATTTGTTTCCGGTACAGAACCGATGGCAGCCATCTGCGGGGCCAACTCAACCGATAGCTCTAACCATCGGGGCAATGGGGGGGTTCAGTGTCTCGCCCAAGGACACTTCGACAGGCACCGAGATTCGAACCTTCAACCTTCTGGTTGAGAGACGACTGCTCTACCCACTGCACCACTGTTGCTGCCATCTGACCTGTCCCTCCTGCACTAGCTCTCCCACAGCAGCATCATGTTGGCTGCTGCCCTGCTCCTACATCTCTCTCTTCAGCTCTGTCTTCCTGACCCTCTGCTTCAGCAGCACTAGTTGAAACCAATCAATATTTGAAATTAGGGCTGTCAAAGTTAATGCAATAATGAGTTAATGCAAATCCCTTTCAATGCCACAAATTTACTAAGTAAATACTTAAGTATTAGCATCAAAACATACTTAAAGTGCTAAAAGTATTCAATATGCAGAATGGCACATTTCAAATTCCTGTACATCATATTATTGTATTACTGATGCATTATTGTGTACATCATGTTTAGTGTTGCAGCTGGTAAAGGGGGAGCTAAATTTAAACTAGCTTATATACATTAATTTGAACTACTGCTGGGTAGCTTGTGAATTTTCCACCATAGATCAATGAGGTCTTGTATTTATAGTTTATTTTTTGTATTAATCTGGTTCTGAAAAGTAACTAGTAAGTTATAAATGTAGCAGAGTGAAAAGGACAATATTTGCCTCTAAAATATAGTGAAATATGGAGGAACAAAATGAAAATACTCAAGTACAGATACAGTCACGTGGGCCTGCAGGTGACATCTGACCTGAGCTGGTCACTGAACACAGCTGCCACAGTGAAGAAAGCCCAGCAGCGGCTATACTTAATCAGGCAGCTCAGAAAAGCTGGGTTGAACCGTCGCCCTCTCACCCAGGCTTATAGAGGACTGGTAGAGAGCATCCTCACTACTGGCATCACAGTCTGGTATGGTAACACCACACAGGCAGAGAGGAAGGCTCTTCAAAGGGTCATAAAGACTGCAGAGAGGATCGGTCTCAACCTGCTTTTTATTAAACTCCTCCAATGACAGATATTGCCAAGATTACACAGTGCTCCCTGTTCTTTTTTCTCTCTGTTTTCCTCTCCTCCCTTCTCTCTCGTTCCCTCTCGCGATACCTCAAGCCCCTAACATTTAAAGGTGCAGAACACATTAAACACCTTAACCTTTATTTGTTACATGTGGAATAACCCCTTAGTAGACATGTACAATAATAATACAAAAATGTTCTACAAGGTATTTTTGTAAGAGCATCTCATCAATAGTGGTCTCTTGGGGGACCTGAATAATAGCAGGACATTCTCTACCAAGCAATGGAAACAGGCCTGAATATAAACTGTGTGTTAGTATGTTATAACCCCTCACTACCTCACCAAGCAAACTGACATATCCAACTCCACCATGTGAATTACTAAGTGCGATGTTTGAAGTTCACTGGGAAAATACTATTACCCTATTTTTGTGTATTGCAGTTTTAATGTTTTGTCTGACAGCTCTGGCCTACAGTCCTGCTGTGAAGAACCTTGGAGTCATTTTTGACCAGGATATGTCCTTTAAATCACACATAAACCAAGTTTCTAGAACTGCCTTCTTTCACTCGCGCAATGTTGCAAAAATCAGGAGCATCCTGTCTCAAAGTGATGCTGAAAAACTGGTCCATGCATTTGTTACTTCCAGGCTCGACTACTGTAACTCTTTACTATCAGGATGTCCCAATAGTCCCTAAAAAGCCTCCAGTTAACCCAAAATGCTGCAGCCAGAGTACTGACAGGAACTAGCAAGAGAGATCATATCTCTCCCATATTAGCTTCTCTC